TAGTCTTCCCCCCATCCTCTCCATCACTACTAACAACGCCACCATCTCTCCCACCCCACACACCAAAGTCCTGAGTGTCACCCTGGACTCCCACCTCTCCTTCCTACCCCACATCCAACTGCTATCTAGATCTTGCAGGCTCCACCTCCGCAACATCTTCAAGATACACACATTCTTCACCCCAGACACCACCAAACAACTCGTACACTCCCTCATCATCTCACACCTGGACTATTGCAATTCCCTTCTCACTGGCCTACCCAAACGAACGCTATCCCCACTCCCCAGTCGATCCTAAACTCAGCGGCTAGACTCATCCACCTCACCAACCGCTCCACATCTACCTCCCCCCTCTGCCAATCCCTTCATTGGCTCCCGATTGCCCAACACATCAAATTCAAACTTCTAACTCTGACCTACAAAGCCATTCACAATGCTGCCCCAAACTACATAACTGAGCTGATACCCAAATACTACCCTACCCGTGCCCTCCGCTCCTCACAGGACCTCCTACTCTCTAGCTCCCTGGTCTCCTCCTCCCACGCCCGATTGCAGGACTTCTCCAGGACTTCCCCCATCCTCTGGAACTCCCTACCCCAATCCATCAGACTGTCGCCTACCCTCCTCACCTTCAGGCGCACCCTGAAAACCCTCCTCTTCAGGGAAGCCTACCCCAACCTCACCTAACACCCGACCTCACCTAACAACTAACCTCCTCCACTCCTCCCGCCACTCCATCCCCCACAGCCATCTGTGCCACCTTCCCCTCCCTCCTAGATTGTAAGCTCGAAAGAGCAGGGCCCTCGAACCCCTCGTTTATTGTATTGTTACTGTCTTGTCTCATGTTCTGTCCCCCTTGCTACTGTACAGCGCTGAGCATACCCTTTGGCGCTATATAAATACTGTATAATAATAATAATCTGGAGGGGTGTCCCAATACTTTTGGCAATATAGTATATATTCACATGGGCTACGTTTAAAAAGCTAAAAATAAAACCTATCCGTCCCACATCCAAAGTTAAAAAAATATAAATAATAAGAAAAGATCTTTTAAAAAATATAAAAATTAAAAAATACTATCATCGTTTAAATGTTACAAAGAATATAACAAAATATGGAAAAAGAAAATCAAAGATGCAAAAATTCAAAACAAACGAAAGAACAAACCCAAAAAAATTCTTCAAATATATTAATAGTAAAAAGGTTGGGTCTGAGCATGTAGGCCCGTTACAAAATAACCTAGAGTGGGTGACAGGGGACAAAAAGAAGGCAAATTCATTAAATACCTTCTTCAGCTTTGTGTATACAAAGGAGCATGTGGGAAGACAATATTGACACAGCCCCAAATGAACCACTATGGTTCAAAATGTATATGGTCCAAAAATATTTAGACAGAATAAAGGTGAATAAAGCACTTGGACCAGATGGCATACACCCATGTGTCCTAAAAGAATTAAGCTTTGTCATTTCAAATATTTAGAGACTCTTTTATTACTGACTTAGTACCACTGGACTGGCGTAAGGTCAATGTGGTGCCTATATTTAAAAAGCGATTAAATAAAGTCTTTACCAAGTAACTATAGACTTGTTACAGTAGTTTAACTTATAAAGTCGTAAAGATACTGGACAGTTTAATAAAAGACTTCATAGATGAGTTCTTGCTAGAAAAAAATATTTTAAACAACAGACAGCATGGATTCATGAAAGACTGTTTTCAAACAAATCTGATTTCTTTTTATGAGAAGGTAAGCAAAACCTTAGACAAGCATGGCTGTGGGTATAGTATATTTTGCAAAAGATTTTGACACATTTCCCCACATGGCTAATGTGTAAGGTAAAGTCTACAGGCTTGGAAAAATCAGTTTGTAAATGGATAGAGAATTGGCTAAAAGATCGTATTAAGTGAGTAATTAGTAATGATTCATACTCTAAATGGTCTAAGGTTATTAGTGGTGTTCCCCAAGGTTCAGTGTTGGGACCCTTACTTTTTAATATATTTATAAACAGGGTCTGGGATTAAAAGTACTATTTCAGTCTTTGCAGATGTCTCCAACTTACAAGCCTACTTCAATGCACTGTTTAATTGGGCAACTGTGTGGCAAATGAGGTTTAATGTTGATAAATGTAAAATTATGCACTTGGGGCTAAAAAAACATGTACGCATCTTATATACTAGGAGGCGAACAGCTGAGGATTCAATGGGGGAGAGAAGGATCTGGGTGTTCTGGTAGATCATAGGCTTAACAATGGCATGCAATGCCAAGCTGCAGTTTGCACAGCGAGCAAAATCCTTGCTTGTATGAAAAGAGGTATGGACTGCAGAGAAAGAGAGATCATTATGCCAGTCATTAGTAACACCTCATTTAGAATATGCAGTTCAGTTTTGGGCACCAATTCACAAAAAGGATATTGGGGAACTGGAGAAAGTACAGAGAAGGACAACCAAACTGATAAGAGGCATGAAGGAGCTCAGCTATGAGGAAAGATTAGCTGAATTGAATTTATTCTCTCTTGGGAAGAGGAGATTAAGGAGGGATATGATCAACATGTATAAATACATAAATGGTCCATATAGTGAACTTGGGGTTGAATTATTCACTTTAAGGTCATCGCAGAGGACAGCAGGGCACTCTTTACCTCTGGAGAAAAAGAGATTTAATCTCCAAATATAGAAAGGCTTCTTCACAGTAAGAGCTATGATTGTGGTCAGCTCAGTAGATTGTTTTTAAAAAAGGCCTGGATTCTTTCCAAGCTACACATAATATAACTGGATATTAATATTCATAGGTAAAGATGATCCAGGTAGTATTAGATTGATTCTTGGGGGATCTGGAAGGAATTTTTTTCCCCTACTGTATATAGGATTGTATTTTTGTTTGGTTGAACTGGATGGACGTTTTTCTTTTATCAACCAGACTAACTATGTACCTCCTGCATTATGATGGCATTTTGTTTATTTTCCACTCAGTACAAGCTCATATTTAGGCCTTTCCCCCCCTAGTGGATGGAGGCAGGCAGTTGAACTTTGTTTTATGCTTAAGATGAGCCCTATCCCCCCCCCTTGTTGTTCTGTTTTTTTTTTTTTTTTTTTTTTTTTTTATATATAAAACTTTACAGTACTTTTACTATTGCACTTCTGTGCTCATTATGGTCGGAGGCATAGTGTCCGGGGGAGTCCTCTTTTAATTTTTTTTTCCGTATCCATGGCAACCAGACTTCTCTTGTTGTTGTCTGTTCTTCTGTATGATTTTTCTGGGCATCCTTTATAGTTATGCTACCTGTTTGCAGAGCTTCACTCTGCTGCGTGTTTTTGGCTTGGAGAATTGATATCTTCCTGACCCCCTTGGACGCCACACCCAGCCTTTTGTTTCATTTGGGATTTACACCTTTTGCCTATTAGCAAATGAGAACAACACCAATAGCCTGTGGACAAGACTCTCCAGTGCTTTGTGTTTCTTTTTCTCCTACCTTAAAATGGTCTGCCTGGCTGCTCCTTAGACCTTTTGGCCTATATGGCCTGGCTACATTATTATTGTTATTTTTTGTTGTTTATGGTTATATGCCTAAATGCTTTGCCCCATGCTCAACCATCCTCCTTCAGTGCCTCTCCAACTCCTTAGGGTGTTGAACCCTCTTTGCCCACTATCTCTCCTTGCTGGCCCATATTTTATCTTATGTACTGGCTATGCCTAGGGAAACTTTTTGTTCTGATCTTTTACCTACTAAGCTGTGACAGTTGGCAATATGCCATTTTTCTGTTTTCTCTCTTTACTTCCCCTACCCTCCCTCCTTTCCTCCTCTCTTTCCCTTTCCTCCTCCCTTTGCCCTCTCTCCCTTTATCCTTTCCTCCCCTTCTTTCCCTCCATTAACCTTTGACTTTCCCTCCTCCTTATCTTTTCTCCCTCCCTTCCTCTTCCCCTTCCCCCTTTTAGGGAAAGGAAGGGTTCTTTCCCTTTTTTCCTCTGTGCGTAGTCTCATACTTCTGCTCTTGATTGTTGGCTTTTCAGGGCTTAAATGTTTTGCCATCCCATTTCCAGGGCTCCTTAGCTACCACTTCCTGTAAGACTATGGTTTTACTTCTGTCTTCCTACGTGTGTCTCTCTCCTGTCCGAGATTTGACCTTGGACCATGTGTATTATATTTGTTGTTGTTGCTATGCTTCATCTGCACTTTCTGAATAGCCTCCCTGGCCCTTGGCCCATTTAATGACACTTGCTGCCTCTCTAGAGCATTGACTCCCGCTCTGTGCTCCTCACAACAGCATTTCCATTGTGCCTTTTCAACACACACTTATCCTTACCATTACATTCCCTTGCCTGGGGTCCAGTTCCTTTCTTTTACCTTATTTCTTCTTTTCCTTTTCCTCTCTTACCCTCTCTCTCCTCCCGTGCGGTCTCTCTATTGGCTCCCCACTTCCCTTTGCGTGAGTCATAATTACATATATGTGAGCTTCTCTCTACAATGGATCCCCCATGGCTCTTAAATTGCTGATCCTTAATGTCCATTTTCTTAACGTCTCTGCAAAACTGCACATAGCCCTTAATTATCTCAAATCTCAGGGTACTGATGTTGCTTGCTTGCAGGAGACATACTTTTCCACCAGCTCAGCACCTCGGTTTTTTTTTACCCATCCTTTCCATTACCATTAGAGATGAGCGAATTATTAAAAAATTTGATTCGGCTGATTCGCCGAATTCGCGGAATAAATTTGATTCGAGGCGAATATATTCGCTGCGAATTTAACATGTAAAAAGAGTGTTTCTAGGCTTCAGAGAGCCTTTATATTAGTGCAGAACACTGTACCTTTAATTTAAATGCCCTTGGAGTCTGCTGGGGAAGAGAAATAATACTGTCAGTCAGTATGACATGCAGATGAGTGCCGTCGATCTTAGAATCACTGCACACTTCACTCATTTGGGCAGTCACGGGGCCAAAACCAGAGTGTGGAGCCACAGTGTGGCGGTGGAGGCAGCAGCAATGGGAGGCCATACAGCACCCTATGACAAAATGGAACCCACCAGCAGTGTGAGGAGACCTGAAAGTGGCACATGGCAGAGTGTGGCGATGGAGACAGCAGCAATGGGAGGCCGTACAGGGACCCATGACACACTCTGGACCTGGCAGCAGCATGAGGAGGCGGTACAGGGGCCCATGACAGATTACGGGCCTGGCAGCAGCATGAGGAGTCGGTACAGGGGCCCATGGCAGATTACGGACCTGGCAGCAGCATGAGGAGGCGGTACAGGGGCCCATGACAGATTACGGGCCTGGCAGCAGCATGAGGAGTCGGTACGGGGGCCCATGGCAGATTACGGACCTGGCAGCAGCATGAGGAGGCGGTACAGGCCATGACATGACAGATTACGGGCCTGGCAGCAGCAGCATGAGGAGTCGGTACGGGGGCCCATGGCAGATTACGGGCCTGGCAGCAGCATGAGGAGGCGGTACAGGGGCCCATGGCAGAGTGGCGGAGCGTAAGCAGCTAAAATTGAAGGCCATACAGAGGCCTATGTTAAAAAGTCCCCCCAGCAGCAGCGTGGGGAGACGACTAATAGTCGTCTCCCCACGCTGCTGCTGGGGGGACTTTTTAACATAGGCCTCTGTATGGCCTTCAATTTTAGCTGCTTCTGCTCCGCCACTCTGCCATTGGACTCTTGATAGTCGTCGACTATCAAGAGTCCAATGGCAGAGTGGCGGAGCAGAAGCAGCTTCAATTGAAGGCCATACACAGGCCTAGGTTTAAAAGTCCCTCACAGTTAATTCCAATAACGAACTCTACTCCTCCGTGCAATCTACTTACGAGACCCTGGGCAGGTCTGGGTCCAATTTGTGGTAGAGACTGGTTTTGTTCAGCCATGCTTGAGCGAGTAATAACAGGTCTGTGCTGCCCTTTGGTGTCTGGCTTAATGCGCACAACACTGAACGTCCCAGCGTTTGTCAACGATTTGCCGTTAAGTGATGCAAACCCGCTGAACCACGTTCATGAGGAGCCGGTACAGGGGGCCATGAATCAGTATGGACCTGGCAGCAGCGTGAGCAGACGACAGAGGCACATGGCGCAGGGTGGCGGTGTAGGCAGCATTATTCTGAAGCCATACACAGGCCTAGGTTAAAAAGCGGAAGCCGTCAGCAGCGTGAGCAGACGACAGAGACACATGGCGCAGGGTGGCGGTGGATGCAGCAGTATTCGGAAGCCAAACACAGGCCTCGGTTAAAAAGCGGAAGCCGTCAGCAGCGTGAGCAGACGACAGAGGCACATGGCGCAGGGTGGCGGTGGAGGCAGCAGCAATGGAAGGCCATACAGCACCCTATCACAAAATGGAACCCACCAACAGTGTAAGGAGACCTGAAAGTGGCACATGGCAGAGTGTGGCGATGGAGACAGCAGCAATGGGAGGCCGTACAGGGACCCATGACACACTCTGGACCTGGCAGCAGCATGAGGAGGCGGTACAGGGGCCCATGACAGATTACGGGCCTGGCAGCAGCATGAGGAGTAGGTACGGGGGCCCATGGCAGATTACGGGCCTGGCAGCAGCAATGGGAGGCCATACAGCACCCTATGACAAAATGGAACCCACCAGCCGTGTGGGGAGACCTGAAAGTGGCACATGGCAGAGTGTGGCGATGGAGACAGCAGCAATGGGAGGCCGTACAGGGACCCATGACACACTCTGGACCTGGCAGCAGCAAGAGGAGGCGGTACAGGGGCCCATGGCAGAGTGGCGAAGCGTAAGCAGCTTAAATTGAAGGCCATACAGAGGCCTATGTTAAAAATAATAACATGTTTGGGGCATGACTCATGGCGGATTTAGTCAGTTGTGTCAGGAACTGGTGGTTTGAAATCCAGACTAATCCACGCCTGATTCATTTTCACAAACGTGAGTCTCTCCACACTTTGGGTGGACAGTCGTGTCCTCCGGAGTTACAATACCTCCTGCCGCACTAAACACGCGCTCCGATGCCACGCTACTGGCCGGGCATGACAGCCTTTCAAGGGCAAATTTAGCTAGTTGGGGCCAAAGGTCAAGTTTCGTTGCCCAGTAGTCAAGGGGATTGTCTACCTCAGTTGGCAGGGTGCTGTCCAAGTAGGCCCGAGCCTGTTGTTTGAGGTCCTGCTCCAGGTCCACCTGATGCTGCTGCTGCTGCGGCTGGTTAGTAGTTTCCTCACTGTGCTGGTGAAGAAAGCTACTCATCGACTGCAGACTGAGGCAGCCGCTGTTGGTGGAGCTGCCACTGCTCCTACCACCCCACCCCTCCCCTGCTGCCATGGCAGCGGAACGCGAGCGCACAGGGCCCACAGTGTCTGAAGATGGACATTGGCGCAGAAAGGCAGAGACCAACTGACTACATAGGTGGTTTTTTATAGTACTTTATTTTGGCCTCCCTCTCAGCAGGTGTGAAAAAGGCCACCATTTTTGAACGGTAGCGAGGGTCCAACAAGGTGGACAGCCAAAAGTCATCCCTCTGTCTGATGGTTATTATTCGGCTGTCGCTACGCAAGCAACCGTTCATGCTATGGGCCATTTGTGCCAAGGAATGCGAGGGACTCCCTGCCTCCACCTCCACAGCATACTGCCACGGTGCGTCTGGGTCCTCTGTCTCCTCCTCCTCCTCCTCTACCAGATGCTCCTGCTCCTCCACTCCTGTCCGCTGAGTGGAAAAACCACCCATTTCACTCAATAATTCCTGAGCACCAATGTCCTCCTCTACCTCCTCCTCTTCTTCCTGTCCTGCCCCCACAGGGGTCATGTGGGGTTGAGATCTGTGCGCCACGTCTACCGCACCCTGACCAGCCATTGTTAACAGTATTTGTTCCAGGACGTGCAACAGAGGAATGACGTCATTCATCCCATAGTCCTGCCGACTCACGAATAGCGTGGCCTCCTCAAAGGGCCTGAGCAAGCGGCAGGTGTCACGCATGAACTGCCAATGGCTGACATCGAAGTTACACAGGGGAGTACCTTTATCCGCTTGTAACATCAGGAAATCGGTGATGGCCTTTCGCTGTTCGTAAAGGCGGTCTAACATATGTAGGGTTGAATTCCACCTTGTTGCAACGTCGCAGATCAGGCGATGCTGTGGAATTCCGTTCTGCCGCTGCAGCTCAAGGAGGGTGTGCTTTGCGGTGTAGGAATGGCTGAAATGCATGCAAAGTTTACGTGACATTTTAAGGATGTCTTGCAGTGGGATGGTGGATTTTAGGAACCGCTTGACAACCAGATTGAACACGTGAGCCATGCATGGCGCATGGCACAACCTTCCTTGACGCAGAGCAGACACCATGTTCTTTCCGTTGTCGGTCAACATGGTTCCGATTTTCAGTTTGCGCGGAGACAGCCATCTGTCGCTTTCTCTGTTCATTACACTCAGAAGTTCCTCCCCTGTGTGACTACGTTCGCCAAGGCATACCAGGTGCAGCACAGCGTGACACCGTTGCGCCCTGCACATGTGATATGCCGGTCGGGTAATGGGAATTGGCACGGGGGTGGCGGCTGAGGACACGGCGGAAGAAGAGGTGGTAGAGGCGGACATCTTTGCTGGACCAAGGACGTGCAAACGTGGAGGCAAAAGCGGCGTGACCTGTCCAAGTTGCTGGTGCGGCTGTGCCGGCACCACGTTCACCCAGTGGGCCGTAAATGACATGTACTGTCCCTGACCGTAGTTACAGCTCCACACGTCGGCGCTGCCGTGCACTTTGGCAAAGACCGACATGCTCAAAGACTGGCCCACCATCTCTTCTACATGTGAATGCAGGGCTGGCACTGCCTTTTTGGCGAAGAAATGCCGGCTTGGCACTCTCCACCGCGGCTCGGCACAAGCCATCATTTCTCGGAAAGGTGCTGAGTCCACCACTTGGAAAGGGAGGGACTGCAGCACCAGCAACTTGGACAGGAGGACGTTCAGCTTCTGCACCGTCGGGTGCGTGCTCGCAAACTGTTGTCTCTTGGAAACGGATTCCAAGAAAGACTGCTGACGGAATCTGTGAAAAGGAGTAGCAGGAGAAGGAGCATCTGAACGAGCGGAAGATGCCAACGAGCGACAACTCCCCTCAGCAGAGGTGTTGGAGCCTTGACTGGCTGATAGAGGGCGATTGACGTCGGGTGACGGAGCAAGTAATGGAGCGGGTGATGGAGCGGGGGCTGGGGCAGGCAAAACCGCCATATCTTTATCACGGTTTTCCCAGGCCACCGAATGGCGACGCTGCATATGCTGACGCAACGCTGTAGTCCCAACATGGGCCCCCTGGCCACGCTTGACTTTCTGGCCACATAGTCGACATACGGCTACGTTTACTTCCTCGGGCGGCTTGACGAAAAATTGCCACACCGCCGAGTAGGAAACTTTGCCCCCGCTACTCCATACTGGCTGACTGCTACTTCCTCCGTGCACACCGGCACCACTACTGGCCGTGGTGGTAGGCTGCAGTGGAGCTGGTGCTCTACTCCGTGGCCGTTTGCCTCCACTGAAACTGCTGCGACCCTGCTGCCTCCTGGGCAACCCACCGACTGTTTTGCTCGCTGCCAAGCTGGCACCCTCTTCTCCTGATGATGCGGAAGCAATAGCCTGATGACGACGAGGCTGCCAAGTGCGATCAGCCTCATCATCATCAATTAGGGTCTCCGCGTCACTACTAGCCCCCTCGGCTGCGTGTGGGTCAGGAGACAGACCTGTCTCTAGACCGGCTACCGAGCCACTCTCCTCGCCAGTACTTCTTCGCCTGGCTGCTGAAAAGGCGGATGTCTCCCCCCGTTCCTGACCGCCCTCTGTTAGCTCTTCCTCACTGTACAGTGGGGCTGAGCCCACAGCATGCAATACTTCGCTTGGTGAGGGAACACCAAAGGACAGGGGCAGGTAGAGGAGACGTGATTTCAGTGGGCTTGCTCCCGGGCCATGCCAACTAACGGTTGTGTCTGACGTACCCACCGACCGTTGGCTGTAGGTGTCAGAGGTGACCTGGAAAGAGGAAGACGACCGAGTCAACCAATCGATGACGGCAGGGTTGTCGGTGGAGACACGACCGCTGGATGACACCGGGAGCACTGGCCTCTGGCTGCGACTAGTGCTGCCTCGACCCCTTCCTCTGCTGCCACGTCTGCTCGCTCCTGAAACATTGCCTCCTCTGCCACTCCTCTGCGTGTTGTCTGACATACTCTTTAATTCAATAGTGGTTGTGAAGCAGAAAGTAACAATTCTGTGTCCCTGAGTAACAATTCTGTGTCCCTGAGTAACGATTCTGTGTCTGTCCCTGAGTAACGATTCTGTGTCTGTCCCTGAGTAACGATTCTGTGTCTGTCCCTGAGTAACGATTCTGTGGCCCTAAAGTCTCTCTGGCCCTAACTCTGTCCCTAATACAGACAGGTCTGTCTCTCTTGAATGACCAGAGGCTAATGGAGAATTGTAAGATGGCCGCAATTTATAGCTCCACCATTACACAGTGCTGGCTGGCTGCTGATTGGCTAATGCGATCACATGTCATGAATGAATGCATTATGGGTCAGCGCGCCTTGTCTGCGCGCCTTCCCAGAGATCCCCGCTCCGTCGCCACACATGTCGCCGCCATTTTTGGGAAAATTCGATTCGTGCATCCGAAGTTTGCTAATTTTCGGATTCGGCGCGAATTGAATTTTTCCTGATCTTCAAAACGAATTCCACTTCGCCATGTTCGATTCGCTCATCTCTAATTACTATGTCTAATGTCTGCCCCCACTAAACATAGGGGAGTGCTGGTTGCCTTTCATAAAGGTGTTTCCTTCATTTATCACAAACAATTGTCTGATCCACAATGTCAGTACCTTTTTTTTCTTCAAGGCTTCCTTCAGGGCGTGGAGGTGATGATTCTTATGTACTATGCCCTCAACGGTTTTAACCTCCCTTTCCTTTTCCATCTACCAGAATTGCTGCAGTCCCATGCCAAGGGCACTGTATTTCTCTGTGGAGACTCAAACTTTGTCAGCCATTCAGTTCTTGATAAATCTTCTCTGGCATTGCATCAGTCTTCCTCAGATTCTGCCCTTTCCTTGATCTCTACACCCAGGCAGACCTGATAGATGCCTGGTGCAAACTCACACAATTTCAATTACACTTAATGTTCCTCTGCTCATAATTATACACCTGTATCAATCACATATGGATCCACAGTCTTTTCTCCTAAAATTGCTTAATGTATCTATCCCAACCATATCATGTTTGGATCATGATCCAGTTCTACTAATCTGTCTGTCTTTATTGCAGAAATCTTAACCTTTGTCCTGGCTCCTTACTGACTCACATCTGTCACATGCCAACATGCTTGATAAGCTGTGTGTGGTCACAGTGGAATATTTTCAGCTAACACCTAATCGTTAACCTCCCTCACCATAGTCTGAGAAGTGTACAAGGCAGTTGCACAAGGTCACCTTATCCAAATTGCCTCTAGGCATCATTGGGAATGGGAGACTTCTAGGCTCCAATTGGAATCGACTTTTGTTTCGTCCTCCTAAGCTCATAAGCTCCACCCCACCTCTGCAACCAAGTTTCAGCTGGATAAAGCCAGGATGGAACTGAATGTTTGCTTTACAGGCATTTCTGAGAAACAGCTATGTTGGACCAAAAAGAAATTCTACCCTCAGAGCAATAAATCAGGTTCCATTTTGACGAGGTGCCTACGATGCTTCACCCCTAAGTGTAATCCTATAGCTCTCCATTCATAT